ACGTTTTTGAATAAGAATCATTCATTTATCCTACAAAATTTTTCCAATTTATATACATCTTTTTGTTTTGTTGTAGATGCTCTTACTAAGTGATTATTAGTTTACAAGTTGCTTTGTGGATCAACAGATTATTTTGCTACTAGCCACTCAAGCAATTCAATGTCAAATGTTTCTTGTTTCTACATCACATCTTGCAAAAAATCACTGAAGCAATCAGTATTCTTAGATTCGAAATCGATGCAACCCAAATTAGATTAGAGAAAACAATGTACTTGAGGTGACGACGACATAGTAGACAATTGACAAGATGATTAGAAGAATATGGAGATTGAGAGGGCATTTGTTAGAGATGTAATTCAGGACAACTAAAAAATATGACAACCCAATTATTTAAAATTCAAAATATGTGTTGCATTCATTAAATTTTGATAAAAGACATTCAATTCGTTTATTTCAATAAACGGGGAGAAAAACAAAATACATCGTAAGTTGTGATTTTGCGCAACAGTATTTCATATTCTTAGTAAATAAGACCCATAAATTCGCTCATGCAATTCTCGTAGCAGTAAGGGGGTTAGAAGTATGTTAGTGACCAACCATCATGCAAGGAATATTACAAGATCAAGCAATGCATCACCAAGTGTATATAAAACCCATGGTATGCTAAGTAAACAACTAGCACAACAACCACGCTAATTCTCAACCCGACAGTATGCTAAGGTTAGTGGTGGCTAGAAACCATGGCTATTGAAGTTGCGTAGTTGTTATAGTAGTGTCCCACGGGCCACATTTGTTATGCATATCTTTGATATATATATATATATCCCTCTCGATTCCAATGTCGTTGGGTTTATATGACTAAAAGAAAATGTGTGATAACCAGGTCCTGATTATTACCCAAGGTATTTATTATGTGAATTAACTGTTTATATGATACATGCTTACATGGGTTAGAATGCGTAAGTGTATGTATTTTATGAATGGGATATATGTATATATATATATATATATATATGCATCAATATGCTTGTATGTGTAGGCATATGTGTGTATGTATGTATGAAATGATATATATTATATATGCATGCATGTGGGGGAGGGCCTGGTTGGCCGACTTCCCTGAAAAGGGAAGGTATAAATATAGCTTTTGTGTATGAGGTAAGACTTCTTGCCTCATTTGGAGTTTTGGAAAATTTAGAGAAAAAAGTTATCCGGAGAACGAGTGGAATCAAATTAGTTTTCATCTTCTTCAAAATCTGAGTTTTTGCATAAAGGTGAGTGTATTCTGCTTTGAGTATAAATTGTTTGTATACAATTCATTGCTAGTGGAATTGTCTTATTTTGAATCACACTATATCGTAAGGATTACAACCTTAAACCGGACAAGTGTTGATCGGATTTTATCTAAACCGATCAAGTGTTGTCCGGATTCAATCTTAAACCGAACAAGGGGTGTTCGGGTTTATCTTAAACCGTTCAAGGCATTAGCGGTTTAAAGCTAAACCATTCAAGGGTTGACCGGTTTAATACTAGATCAATCACCCGAGTTCTTTATTTTGACCGGACTTCATATACGGACAAGGTATCCGGATTTCTAATCCAGACAAGAAGTAACCGGATTTCATATCCGGCTAAAGTTGACAAATTTTGTTAGTCTTAAATTGACTAAAGATTGTGTGGATTAGTTTCCTAAATCGATTGAGTATTGTCCGGATATCTTATCCGGATGATCTAATTGTATTGTGTATCTTTGACATTTACATAAATGTTTATCATTAGGTTTAATTATGGATTTATAAAAAAGGGTATTTTATATATTTTAAAATAAAAAAGATATGTTTCAACCAAGCATGGAGACGTAAGTCTGTTTTGGTATGGAATTTGATTTTTGAACATTGTTTCTACCAAACGTGATGACGTAAGTCTATTTTGGTATGAAACTTATTTTAAGAGGTAGTTCCCCCAGACGTGGTGACTTTTGTTTGTTCTGGCTTGGAACTGGGAATGGGTACTTTCAGACGTGGTGACTTTTGTCTGTTCTGATAAGTAACCCTGTTTTGATGAAGGAATAACGGTGGCATATCAAGGAGAGGTGTACTTGGAATAAGGGAGGCATTGTCGTATGTGGATAATAATATTACTCTTATTATTATTACTAATCGGATTTAATAACTTTGAGTCATCATTTTTGTTGTGGCCTGATGAATTAGAGATATTATTCCTATTAGAAATAATAATTTAGATGTCATTGAGAAGGGAAAAATGGTTTKTCATAAAGGGCAAGTATTGCCTTAAATCTTTCCGTTGAAATTTACAAAGGAATGGTCTGATAATTCAATGAAGTTTTGGTTACAATATTGGTTTCATATTTGGAACATTGGATCTTTAAGTAGATGTATTATATTAATAGAACTGAGGTTCTTGGGTATATCTTATTTTACATGTTATTGAGAACTGCATTATTTGATTATATTGCAAGTATTTATGTGCAAGGATACTTTATTATTTTTGGTGTTCATCACCCTGCATTTGCAAAGAAGGGATTAACTCACTAGACCCTTCTAGTCTAACCCTCATTTTCTGTTTTAAAATTATGCAATGCAGGAATGGCGGGGCCCAGGGATAATAAGGGGAAAAGGAAAATGTTATTATTTTCTTAATCTGATATCTGCTTTTGGATATCTGTATGAGATTGTTCATTTTTTAAGATACATATGATAGTACAGGATTTTGTTTTGGGATTTTGTATATGTAGATTTTGGTGCATATAGGAATCTTTGTACTAGTGAGACCTTGTGATGTAAACTATGTTTCCATGTAATGAAATATGTGTTATATGCAAATATGATGTTTGGGGGTGTTACAAAATGTCATTGTTAAAAGAACATAATAACAAAAAAGAGCCGCATCCCTTTGATGAGTTGAAAATAAATTTACAAGAACAAATATACTTATCTAGCTTAGTAACTATATAAAAAGTAACCATATAAGATCTATGAGTCATCATAGTCCAAAGACACCAAAGTCGACCATAGGATGTAAAATTAACAACTTTGAAACTCAATACTGAGTAGCAAAGGTAATGGAATGTCGAATTGACAACTTGATGTTGAATAAATTTAAACAATCCCAATTCATTCATTTTAAAATTCTTAGCTTAACTAAACTCCACAGGCTCATGGCATTAGATTAATCTAATTCCCCATTCTATAGATGAGACAAGCTCATGAAATTGTTGTGAACAAGGCTAAAATTAAATGGACCAGGTCCTACCATACGTGTTGTCAAAACTATCAGAAAGGAAACAAAACAAGTGTTAAAGACATGTAAGATCATTTACAAAATTCTATCTGAGCATAATAGTTGTTTTTGTTCCGCAAATCAAGATAGTCTCATGGACTACAAAAGGTACAAAATTGAGGGCATTGAAACAAAAAGGGAACAAAAAATCTGGAAACTACACCTCTAACGAACAAGTGTATGAGCATTAGTCACAGTATGATGTAGGCTAACACAAAAACCAACAAAATAATCCACAGATGAAACAAATCAATTCTACTTTCAATATTTCTCATTCAATAAAATCTGCTATTTTTACCAAGAATTTGCAAAAATAAACCAAAAACAAATCAATAGTCAATCGACTCGAACCCCATAATTGTACCTGTAGGATGTTTGGATCACAATTGCATGTTGTTTCTCCTCTCGATCACAACCTCATGGTTGATGTTTTTCATGTTGACGCATCTTCACCGCAACTGCTTCTCTCGGCTTCTCCTCTTGTTGTTGGCCTTCCCGCGTAAAAAATGAAAAGAGCAACAATCCCGTTCTATTGCTCTTGCGTTCGTGCGTTTCTGGAACAGAAGAACCACGGAATATCTCTTCTCCCTTCCATTCTGTATTGCCCAAAAACCCAGCCAAATAAATAAAACCTACGGTACTATGTCCCTATGAATTATCTAACCCTTACAAATTTTAGACTTCCTCTTAAATTTATACTTAAGTTGATTCCCACCCTCCTTTTTAATTGAACTAAATAGTCTTTGTATGCTATGTCGGATATATAGGTATTCAATATCTTCATTAAGAATTTTTTTATTGATCGTAATCGGTAATATTGAGTTGTTACGTCTTATAATGGATCCTACCGGGTAGTGAATTTGTATTGTGTTTTTATAACAAGACATATTGGCTTGTAATATGCAATAATGGGTCATATTAGGTTGTAATTGGTTAAATTAATTATATTGGTGTGTGGTGTTTCATGGTGGGCTCTCCTTGATATACATGTACATATTTATGGTCAAATGATGGGCCTTGAGGACCTTGGAGTCTCACGATCTGACATAGCCCGACCCGAACGACGAATTTTCCTTTCTCTTCATATACAATTTTTTTCTCTCTCGCTAGATACAGAACAGAAGGAAAAAGCGCTCTGGTTTCTCTCCTATTTTTTGTACAAAAATCCATCTCCAAACCAAGATTAATTCGTTAGACGAATTCGATTGTTGTATCCTCTAGACGAACGCTAATTCTACATGCACACATATATACATACGTAAATATATATGTATGCATCAAACTTAATTTATTATTAGTTCAAACAAAATAACACTTTTAAATTAATTAACGATAATTATTGATGTAAAGGAACGACGACGCTAATTTGTATGAAAAAAAGCCTCCATCACATAAACAATTAAATAATGACAAGCAATTCACCAAAAAACCAATAATATATTTGTAACAAGTCTTGAGCACCTTCCAGGATATGATTGACGTGTTTTATATTGTTGCAAACTAGAATTGACCATAATTGGCATACAATTATTTTTGTAAGCCATGTGAATCACTAACAATTGACTACGCTAATAGTCTTCTTACACAGTTTTCACTGCCAAAACTAGTTGACCGTCGTAAGCCTCATGTGAATTGCATTAGAAATGAAGCATGTCAATTAAGCCTATAAATGCACCCTATCCAAGTCCAAAATCATTCACAAACAACATATAACCGTATACCTCTTCACAAAAGCACTCTTCATGGATATCACAAGTTTTCTCGTACATAATAATCTCTCGGCCCCTCTCTTCGTTCTATCAACGATCTTCTTTCTCTTACTAGTTGTCAGACTAGCCAAACCAACACCCTCAAAGAATCTCCCACCAGGTCCACCAAGGTTGCCAATCATCGGAAACCTACATCAGGTAGGGGATAGACCTCACGTCTCTACTGCCAAATTTGCTAACGAATACGGCCCTCTTATATCTCTCCGCTTAGGCAAGCAACTTCTTGTGGTTGCCTCTTCACCRGATGCAKCCATGGAAATTCTTAAAACTCAAGATCGTTTTCTTTCCTCACGTGTTGTGCCTACTGCATTTCAACAGGCATCCCTAATACCTCACTCCCTCATTTGGTCAGAGTGCAATCACACCTGGAAAAACTTAAGAACCCTTTGCCGAACCGAGATGTTCTCGGCGAAAGCATTAGAATCCCAGTCTAGATTACGGGATGAAAAATTAGGCCGGTTGTTGGATTTCTTGCATGGAAAGCAAGGACAAGTGATTAACGTGGAGGATGTAGTTTTTACTACATTGTTCAACACTTTGAGTTCCATCATCTTTGCAAGAGATTTCYTTGATTTGAAAGATGAACGTGGCAGTCGTGATGGGTTAAAAGAGTCGCTACATAAAATCATTGAGTATGGAGGGATTATAAAAGACTTGGGTTCTTTTTTCCCAATATTTGAGAGATTTGATCTTCAAGGAATAAGAAAAGGAACCATGAAACAATATMAAAAGACATTTGCTTATTGGGAGGATATCGTAGAGGAAAGAAGAGCTTTGATCRRTTCTTCAACATGGTCGTCAGAGCAGGCACAATCTTTCTTGGATCGCTTGCTTGAAAATGGTTTCTCAAACAATCAGATAAATCAGTTGGTTACGGTATGTCTTTTTGACGATTTATGTATAAAATTATGAATTTGTAGCTGAACAAAAGTTATAGGCAGCGGATGATGATCAAAAATATATCTTATAAAAAAGAACCATTAATAGTATATAGACGGATTTATTCCGAAAACAAGAGAACAGTTTTCCTACATAAAATACACATATGCAAAGTTAACCGGTTCATCAAACATTATATTAAACACACAATCAACACAAATAAAGTCAATTGTGTTTCTCCATCAACAACCTTGATTAATCAAATTATTATGTTGTTTTAATAGAAATAACATTCTATCTCAACTATCGRAATTGTTTTCTCTACAATTGATCTTCTTTAATCCAAGGAATTTTTTTATCTTTCCAGGAATTATTCGTAGCAGGAACAAATACAACACACACTTCAGTTGTGTGGGCTCTGACCGAGTTCGTGAGACACAAAGAGGTCATGTCGAAAATAGTAGATGAGATTAAGAGGGAGATCAACTCGAATAAAATCACTGACTCGCAACTATCTAACTTACCTTATCTACAAGCGAGTATCAAAGAAGCCATGAGATTACACCCACCGGTGCCTCTTCTTCTTCCGCATATGGCGGCTGAAACTTGTGAGGTTATGAATTACACAATTCCTAAGAACTCCAAAATATTTGTCAATCTTTGGGCGATGGGCCGAGACCCTAAAGTTTGGGATGACCCATTATCTTTTAAACCCGAAAGATTTATGGACTCGAAATTGGATTTGAAAGGTCAAGACTTTGAGTTATTACCATTTGGTTCGGGGAGAAGGATGTGTCCAGGAATGCCCTCAGGYATCAAAAGTGTTCAACTTGTATTGGCATCTTTGATTCATGAGTTCGACTTGATTCTTCCAAATGATGTTGATCCTATGAAGCTCAACATGAATGACAAATTCGGGATTGCTTTGAAAATGGAGGAACCTTTGAAGCTAATMTTCAAACAAAAAAGAGAGCCTCAATRTGCTTAATTCGTATTGGATTTCCTGTCATATATTTGTATCTAAAAGTTAATCRATGAATTCATGCTTATTTCATATGTAATTCAARTTATTTTATGTATTTTTAAATATCTCAATAAATGAAGCAGGCTTAATAAACCTGTAATGTTCCCTGTTATATTTTGTTTGGCTTTTCTAATATCTTTTGTATCGAATTGTCTAGGAAATAGCTACATTACCAGTTTAATGCTTCACATCTTCGGTAATGTTAAAATATCGGGCTTAAGGTTCGTAAGAAATCACTGTAATATTTATGATCGTGTAGAATCACTTTCCTTCATAAATATTTCGACCTTTTATTAACCACACTAGTACAAAAACTCACAATGGTCACGGTTAAAAAAACGTAGCCGTAGGCCTTTATCCACAGTTTTATTTTCTTCAAATCAATTCACTGCCTATTCTACCATGACTACTTTTGATATCCTTATGGCCACGTGTAAAATTGTCGCCATATCACATGAAAAAACAAGTCATAGCCTACAACATTGTGGCCATAAACATATCCAAAATTTTATGGTATTGAAGCAATTTTCCTAAAAGCATGGCCATAAACTACTTATCGACACATAAAGTGACGTTTAAACGTGCCAAATTTATTACATATAACCATGCTTATTTTTTTATAAATGTGTCTATTGGTGGTATGATTGTTTTATGAAGTTTTGGCAATACGACAAATTTAGATTATGTGGTTTTATTGATCTGTTGGTTGTCGTCATAACACTACAAGAAAAATGAGTTTTAGAGAAGAAACTTTTAGAGAAGTTTTAAAAATGTACCTAAAGATGCATTTTAAGAGAGGAATCAAACTACAAAAGTAAAAAAGAGTAACTAAAACTAAGGAGACTATTACAGAAAGATTTTGAGTCAATGAATACACTATCAAAAATGTCTCTATAGGTTTTAGAGACACTTCTTAGAAAAACGTCCCTGAAAGTAGAAACAAAAGCTTTAGTGACGGTTCCTTAAGTGTCTCTAAAAGTTAAAAGGTTTTTAAAAATAAATAAAATTGGACAAATAGTTTAGTAACGCTTCCCTAATTTTTTGATAAGGGTATGTAAAAGATTTTATGAATAAATCAAAATTATATAAGAAATGGATCAACGAATTGAGCCCTAGTTGCTCCATCATCCTCTTCTCGCCTCCTATATCGGTCTAGTTACCTCCCAGGTGGTTGAGACCATCACCACCTAGGTTCCTAGTCATCAGCGAGGTATGACACAAGGTAACTCGACAAAACTCTGGAGGCCGGCGTTGGCAGCGATTACGGAGGACGGTGTTGCTCGGAGAACTCCATCTGATTCTTATGGTTTTGATTACAGGTAAATTCTTCCTTCTGGGAACATTATTATGTGTTTCAATATCAAATAATTGATAATTTACAGAGATGCTTGCGAAAGTTATGAACAACTGCCAGTGTTTACTTCTTCTCCATTCAATCTACCGTTTAGGATAGATGACAAATCTACCACTAGGGGGGTATTTGGGCTCATTTGGTTTGTTGTTATCCAAACACTTAGGTGGAACTAAAGGTTGCAACAATGTTCATAAGATTGTATTAAACACTTAAACAATCGGATTTAAGAGCAAATGACAGTAGAGCAATGAGGGTGCCAAACGAGGGTTTCCTTGGAAAATTTAAAAAAAAAAGGAGCAAATTAGCAGTAATGAAATGGGATGTAGAACCCCCACATGATGTGCAGACTTCTCCTTGCACTGCCAAACCGTTCTCTTCTCCATTATTGGATTCATATCCACACAATATTTGAGTAGTAAGAAGAAATGACATCCAAATAGCTAACTATTATCTATCAACAACTAAATGAACAACTTGGTAGAGTTGTAAAAAACTAAGATTGCATCCATTGATTCGTCTGCAGGTGGATCAAGCATGGTCACCGGACCTAAACAAGTTTAATATAAAAACTAGATGATAATCAGATCAAATGGACTGATTTTAACATAATCTTGGTAACTGCATTTAAATTCAATATTTGTTTTTACTAGTTAGTGGATGTTGCTAGGACCTTCTTTATTTTACATGGAAGTCTAAGAAGCACACTGTGGAGACGAACTAACTCAAGGTTCGAAATTTCAATGTCAAATAGATTCTATTCGGGTAAAGATTCGGTTTTTATATTCATTCTCTGTTAATTTAGAGGTATGCTTGCATACTGTTACTATCATTTGGGGATAAACTTTATGTATATTAACTTACGAAACAGGTTCTTTTGTTGTTGATGTGACCTTTCGGTCAGAAACCTACGACTTGGGCTCAGTTTTATACGAATATTATTAGTATTTGTTGACATTGGTTTTACTGAGTTTTCGGCATGCGGTTTCATGTTTTATCTCATTTGCACTTCTTGAAGATTTTGATTGATTTTATGGATCAGTGTAGATGTGTAAGGAGGGTCTGTTTATTTGCGGTTTCCAATGCTTAATGATATCTGAGTGATTGTTTAGGGCTTATTGAGCTATGCTATGTTTCCATAGTCCATTCAGCCAAAATTTTTTCTAAAACAACCTTTGGCTTAACATTGAGTAGTGGAGATGTGCTCTAATTGAAAGATTCCATGTCACAGAAGCTGAGGCCTTGCAACATAAGTTTGCATTCATTTCAATTTTGATACATGTTTTTTTTCCTTCTGATTGATCATTGATCAGATGTGTTGTTTAGTTGTATATATGGTTATATTTGATTAAGATACAGTGTTTATAATGATACGATAAATTTAAAGTAATTGGTGGCACATAAGAAAACTTGTTGATTTTACCTTGATTGCTGAGTCATAGTCCATCTTCATAAACATGTGCCTTTATAATGATATGATAACTTTAAAGTAATTGGTGGCACATAAGAAAACTTCTTTTACCTCTAGCTGTTTGCTTATTTCTTCCTTGAGATTTTAAAACACAACACCAAATATGTGTTAGTCTCTTTGTACATGTTTTGTCATGCTCCTGTCAACAAAGCAATTGCCTACCGCTTAATTTAGATTGCATTTTTCAAATATTCATGGCAACATATATGTCAATGGACAAGGGTACAAAAATCATTTAATTAACTCGAACTACTGTTTATATAAACAGGCCTAACAAGGAAAAACTAAGACAACGGCTTAACATGCTTTCTTTTTCTCACACTTTCTCACACTTCTTTTCTTTCTTCTTTTTAGTGTTGTGGTTGTTTTGCCCTATGTTCGCCATGCAGTACACATCATAAGATTGATACCATGTTGATTCCCACATGATATTCTTCTCTTATTATGGGATTGACATGCATTCCAACTAACAACTATGCTCGAATTAAAGCCGATGACTATCACATTTTTAAGCCTTGTACAAATTATTGGAATACTTGCTACAAACAGAGACACATTTTCCCCAGGTAGCCATTCTTGAAGTCTTAGGACTTTTACACTTGTAGTCCCTGAAATTTCAAGCAATAGAAATCCTATTCAGATGTGAGAAAAGTATCAAAATTTCTATCATCAAATTTTCATTCTCACTAATATCGAATCCCACTATATCCTGATAACAGAGTATGCATATTATTGAAGAAGAAGAAGCAGAATCATACCTCGTACATTCACCTATGAAAATGTGCAAATGCTGCTAACTGCGAACATTCATGGTTTGCATGTTTTTCTAGGTTTCTTATTAAATTCCTTGTTATCTTCGGAAATATCTACTTTACAAATAAACATAAAAATTGATCAAGATCATAAATTAAAGAACAATAACATAATAAAGGTTGTGTTAAAGTAGTACTATGGAAATGCACTCATCAAAACTTTTGCATAATTCTGCTTGTCACAACATGCTTATGTATATAGTTAGATTTATGAATAATGTTATAAAGATTTTCAATCATCATCATGTGCAGTTCCCAAGGACCATAGAAATAACTGGAAGCCCATCTACATTTATAGACTAAGGTACCACCACAAATCTACAATGCAGTTTCCTTAATCATGATACATGTATATCATGATAACTAAAGCAAAATACCTCTTGATGATTGTGTGACATAGGTTCCTTCCAGGACTCCAGTAACTTGTCGATCCTGAAAGTAAAAAGATAAAAATAAATTATATCTCGACAATGATTGGATTATTTTGATTCCTGGTGATTTGCAGAGGCCGTCTTGAATTGTTAATAAATAGTCATACAACTACTTTTCACTCACTCAAACAATTACATATGCATCTACTTCTCACTCACTCAAACAAATACATATTTATTCTGATAAGTAATGTGGTTCGGCTTTCCAGGTTGAACTTGTTGTTGCTGCTGTTGTTAAGCCTAAGCCTAAAAAGGCTGAATCTGTTGTGGTAAGAATTTCTAATTGATAAACATGTTTTCTGTTTTTGGACTTTTTTTTATCTTAATATTTAAGGTTGGTGCTCATATGATGTTTTGGTTTTTTTATCTTATTTGAAATGTCTGATATCATGCATTTAGATAAGCTTTTCAAATACTACAAGAAAAATGACATTCAGAGAAGGTATTGTTTTGTACTTAAAAGTCTTAAAAGCTTCTCTAAAGCCTTTAGATAAGCTTTTCACTTTTGTCAAAGAGCTTCTCTATGTAGCGGTAGGTAAAGGTTTTAGAGAGGGTTTTCGGAGGGTATGTTTTTGTTAGCATTTAGAGACGCTTATTTGAGGCTTTAGATACACTTTCAAAACTTCTCTAAAGATTAGTCAACTTTTTATTCAAAGCTTCTCTAAAAGTATATCTATTAGTGACACTTTTCAAGTATTTGTAACGGTTTGTAAGAGTTACTAAAAGATACTTTTAGAGAAGATAATGGAAAAGCTTCTCTAAAGATATTGGCTTTAGT